CAGATGACATGAGCAGTTCCAGCTTTCCAGTTCTCAACAGTTGACTGTTTGTCATGTACATCCATGCCAGCATGAAAAAAGACTGCATTTACTCCAGCTTTTTGAAGATGGTAAGAAACTTCTACAGTGTCTCTCCTTTCAATACAGTAAATGATACCACATTGTTCAGAAAAGTTTTTTTGAATAATAGAAAGTATTGTTGCATGTGCATTAGATCTTTTCTCAACAACATGATAAAACAGGTTGGCCCGATTGGATATCTGCTTGATAACTTTTGTTTCATTTGGTAGCTTCAAATTCTTTATAATGGTTGCTAGTGTTCGAGATGTAGCAGTTCCAGTCATAGCCATTATTGGGCACCCCAATGTTCCAAGTCTCCATAGCTCAGCATAACAAGGTCTAAAATGAAAACCCCAAGTGTCGATACAATGAGCTTCATCGATGACAAAGAAATTTATCAGATTCTAGGATGAAAGTTTCGATAACAAGTCAAATACTGATGGCGATAACACAGTCTCAGGGGTAAGGAAAAGCAAGTTATATTCTGGTGGGTTGGAATGGAGCTTGTGTATGACACTCTGTCTGTCCATTTCATCCATGTCTTTCATTAGGAAACCAACATTAAGTCCTTTTGATTTCATCCTTTCAAATTGGTCAAACAGTAGAGCTAGCAGTGGAAAAACAACAACAACAAGCTTCTGTTCCATCAAAGCTGGAACTGCATAACATAGTGATTTTCCACCACCAGTTGGCATAATAAGCAATGTATTTTGCCCTTGACATATGCTATCAATTGCCTCCTCTTGTTTTCCTCGAAAGACGTCATAATGAAAGACACTTCTTAGAATATCAACAGATTTTTTGCCTGTCATGTCATCAATATTGATATCATGCTGGTTGATTGGCATTATATTATCCCCTGTCAAATCCAGTGAAAGATTCTAAAAAACAAATTTAAATTGTACATCAATAAGTACATTTTACCTGAAAATAATGCACTTAGAGTATAGAAACTGACTCTTCCCCAGGTATATAGAAATAAAAAAATATGTTCATGTAAAGAAAATCAATAAATCAATCCGATGAGCCCCAGTGCGCCCTACTTGTATTTTTTTTACTTGTCTAATGCCAGACGATTTTACTTGTGAATGGGGAAGCTTTGCGGTTTAATGAGACTTAATTAACCAAAAAATCTGACAAAGTCTCTAGTTAACCCGTTGAACTGCAATGTGCCCCAGTGCGCCCTACTTATTTTTTCTTACTTGCCTAACACCAGATGATTTTACTTATCAGTCAGGAAGGTCTGAAGCTTAATGGGATAAATTAAAATGTGTGGGCTTAATTAATAAATTTTTCCATCTAAAAGGGGTTGTTGACCTGTGTTTGTTTTCGGTGGTTCTTGTGGAACGGTTCTCTTTTTTATTCTGATTGGCCTTTACAGATATTATAATTATGGTAAGTGAAATTTCAAAGTCCTATAACAGAACATAACTCATTTTTAATTAAAGAAAACAACTTTATTGGAAAATGTCTGCAAATATTAACAAGGCTAGTCAAGACAAACAGTGATATCCTGGATATTTATCATCTGCCAAAATAATGTTATAAATGTCAGTGTGTATAAATTATACTTAATACCTTTCTAACAAAAATAGCTTCTGCAACTATAATTGTTAAATTCCTTTCACCAATGTTTTTTTTGACGTCCAGAGGTTGAACTTGACGTGCAAATCTTGTGATAATACTTCCACAATGGATGGTTTTGTTCCTTCTCCATAAGATTTTAGTTGGCCAAAGTGCATAAGAACGACTCCAGCTAACTTTGCGGCTTCTTTTGTATCTTTGGCCATCACTTCAAACACAAGGCAAGCTTCGTACTTTGTTGTGACAGTATAACGAATATACTTGTCTCTCTACAGTTAAATGTAAAACAGTAAAATAAGTAAAAAAATATTGTATTTCAGGCCCTGTTTACACTATACCGGTTCGCTGGTCACGACATCTTCCTTTGCCGTTACGGAGCAATGGTTAGTAGAAATGCTTATTAGTTTGACAGAATTGGCATGTTTATTTGGGTCTCTGAGATTAAAAATCTTCACAGCCTTTCGATACCTACAAAATTTGACCCACTCCGATTTATAATGATATAAACTCATAAAATATTCATTTCTTAAGCGAACCGTGTGATCGCCCACGCCGACAATTATAATAAGGTTGAATCCAAAAATATTTACCTGAAGAGAGCGTTTAGAGAAAACCCTTGCCAAGTACTGTTTCGTTTCATTGCCATGAAACAGGTTAAACAATCGACGCGCTTCTTGAGTGTGCTTCTCCTTGTTGAACGCTAATTCTCGGTGTTTTATCCTATAATGTTGGGCTAAATCTTGAAAAAATGCTTTTCCAGTCTCACTTCTACAAGATCTGTGCGGACATGGCAATTTCCCGTCTGTAAAAGCGTCATTGAATGGACGCATTTCGGAGTTGAAATTTAATGCAATTCCCGCCATTGTTTCTTCCGCCATTTTGAAAACAGGATATGCCAGTCGTCTCGCACCTTTCCCCCTTCCCAGCGCTCCTAGCGCGTGTGCTCACCGCCTGCATGCCCTTGCTAACCCTTGCGCATACCTTTTCTTCCGCCCGCGCTTGAAGCATACCTTTTCTTCCGCCCGCGCTTGAAACACAGAGACGACTGGGGACGAGTCAGTCTCCCGATTACTTTCTAGAGTCCGGTCAGATCCCTTTTAAACCATTGTTTCCAAAGCAAACCGCATGCTTGGATTTCTACGACGTAACTGTACATCGGCAACTGATATAAATTGTCGACGCTCTCTCTATTCGACACTTGTTCGTACACATCTGTGTTATGGCAGTGAAATTTGGCCACCCCGAACAACATCTAGGGACCTTCTTTGTCTAGAAAGTGTCCAAAGATGAGCGACCAAGTATATCCTTCAAGACTTCACCTCATCTTACATCAACCGTTTAAAGCAACTTTCTCTATTGCCTATTTCATGGTTCGAAATAAAAGATATTACGTTTTTTTTATAAATGAGCTGGTTATTATGACTTAACACTTGAAGACAATAATATACTAAACAATTCTAATAATCATCACACTCGCTTTAGCTCTACTGATTCATACCGACCAAACCGTTGCAGAACATCTTCTTTCCGAAACCTATTTTTCAATAGGAAGTGCCACTATGGAACAGCCTGCCAGGAGAAATAAAATCCTCTCTCTCTATTCAGTCACTGAAACTTAAACTCTATAGGCCGTTTGCTGTGACCTCGAAAAGTGCCTGGAAAACGATTTTCATTAAGCATGTCTTGGAACTGAAATATTTTTATGGGAACTAACACTTTCGAACACGCTGAGTTCAAATCCGAAAACTTCCCGCACCGTAGACCCGCAGTTTTCTCAGAAACTGCTATTTTATCTTCGCTAATTTCACAACAAATTTTTTCATTGTTCAACGACACGGATGGATGAAGACACACGATTGCATAACTCAAAATAACTAATTCCTATGAACCAGTCTCTACATTGAACAAAAGACCGGTTTTGCTCGAATTATTTTGAGTTATGTAATTTTAAGCGCGCGTGTTGGACGTAAACAACACATCTTGTCTACAACTTTGGGAAGGTGCCGATATCGCTTTGTAAAATCCTCAGTTCATGCTGTATCTCTATGTTAAGTCGTTGGGCTATATTTCTGGGATGAGAAATAATTCCTTACATGCATGCGATCAAAATGTTTTATTCAACGATGTAAAACGGTCAAATCTTATGGAATGGGTAGCATTTCCACTATTTCCAACACAGTTTCTGAGATGTAATTCAAGAGGTAACTTATCATTGCATTTGAACTATTATATCAGTTAGTGTTATTCTGTACGATAAGCGAATATTATTGGAAAGAGGGCTGCCATATACGTTGAAATCACCAAATAAACAGCTTACTGATGCACACATTTCTCCACAAGTTTACAGAGCAGATTTTATACCTTGCACTGGTCTTTGTCTTTTATATGAACATTTATTCCCCTAGTTTAAGGTTATTTAAGATTCATCCTGTCGTAAGTCTTCTACTAGCAACCAATCGACAATATTTCACTTTAACGTTGTCTTTGCCGTTACGTTGGCTTCGCATTACTTTTGTTTTAAATACCTTGATCGCGTTAAATTAGTTATTTTTCAGGCCAGTGATATAGCGAAAAGACTTAGCATTAACGTCCTTGTGATTTTACAGAGATATCGCTAGAACTGAGGATTTTAGAAGGCGTTATCTGTACCTTCTCAAAGTTGTAGAAAAGATGTTGTTTACGTGCAACACGCATAAGATTACATAACTCAAAATAATTCGGGCAAAACCGGTCTTTTGTTAAAAGGAAGACTGGTTAATAGAAATTGGTCGTTTTGAGTGATATAATCGTGTGGCGTCATCCATCCGTGTCGTTGAACAATGAAAAAATTTGTTGTGAAATTAGCGAAGATAAAATAGCATTTTGTGAGAAAACAGCGGGTTTACAGTGCGGGAAGTTTTCGGATTCGAACTCAGCGTGCTTGAAAGTGTTAGTTCCCGTAAAAAATATTTCAGTTCCAAGACATGCTTAATGAAAGTGAACGATATCAGGACGCAGCAAACGGCCTACTATAATCACAACACTCAAAAAGTTAATGCATGTTTTGATGTTAATAGTCCAAGGACTTGGAAACGTTTTGCTCTAAATGTCGTTCTTCTTTTATGTCTTGTCGTTCGTAGAAGTGTACGAAAATTGTGTATAATACCGTAAACAGGGGCGGATCTAGGATTTTTCGTACGTTAGTCAAAAATTTCGTTGCTGAACATCGAAGGGGGGGGGGTTCTTTTAACGGGGGGAGGTCGCAAAGCGAATTAATTTGTATCCTGTTTTACGAAAAAATGTTACGCATTTGTCTTTAAATTAATTTACATGAATGGTCAAAAGATTTTTAAATATAGCGATGGAGTTTTATAAAACATTTGATTGATTGTTAATTCGCAGGAAAAGAATTTCCACGTTTAATTCACTGCTTCTCGAGTTTTATTCATAGCAGAAACATGTGCCATCGCCATGAATACTTAAGTATTCACAATGGCAACATGATGCATTTTACTTATTGTATACATGTTGTAGAGATCGTATTACACAAAGCCATGCCACACAGTATTATTAAGTATCTGACAATATATAAAGCCCACATTCCACAAGAGGCATAAACAAAGTATAAGCAAACTGAAACTGCTTGTATTAAGCCGCAGTATTAAGCCGCAGTATTTATGTAAATTGACTGAAATATTATGTAAATTTCGTCTCTTATTACGTACAGACGCGCAATCCACTACAGCCTACAACAGCTATAATGCCATATCTAGTTAATTAAAATAGAATATATTTACCTTAAGGCCGTACAAAACGTTTTTGTTTTCTGTCGAACGTACTTCGTGATGTAAGATTCCGCACCAAAATTTCGCGGTGCGAGGAAGAAGCTTGTGTTGTTCACAGCGCTCAATAAGTCTTATTGTCGATCATCATTCTCTAAAGCAGCCTTTGCGGTTACGTAAATACTAACAGAGTCCAGACATGGCTAGCATTAGTTTAGAACTTCTGATAAATTTTCCGATTAAATTGCCATAAAACGCACATGCTATAAAATCGGCGGGTACGCGTATAACAATAAGAGACGAAATTTACATAATATTTCAGTCAATTTACATAAATACCATAGACCTTTCCGTGCATACTATTAGTCTGAACGGTATGATCGATCAAAAAAATCCAGCCAACAGGAATTCAGGATTTTTTTGAATTAGCCAATCGGATAGTCTGTATTCGAGCCCCTGATCGCTTTAGCGATCAGAACTCCCCACAGATCGCGCAAAAATCGAGATAGCCAATCAGATGGCTGGAATCTGACTCAGAGCGTGCAAAACTCATGCGTAAAACCGCTTTTCTGCGCGTTCATGTTCGAAGGCCTTGCTACTGGATGATATCTTAGAACTGGACTGTTAAACTTTCAATACAATACACTGCGAGAAGTTTGATAACTGGATTGCTATTTTAATTTAACAATTTTCTGGCCAATTTTTACCTTAGTCGCGTGATCGTTCTGATCACCCCTAGATCCGCCCCTGACCGTAAATATGTAACTAGCTATGTATTTTCTTAATTTTATAGCCGTTTATAGCATAGCATAGCATAGCATAACTCTTGACGAAGGGCCTTCGCTCGAAACGTCGAGTTTCTGCTTGTAATATAACCACTCAGCACAGCATTTTATAGTATAGCGTGGTATTTTTATGTATGGCAGGACTTAATTTGGGACTTTATTAGTCCTGTTGTCCGTGCCTCCGATTCCTTATTGTAAAACTAATAAAAAAATAAATAAATAAAAAAACTCGTTTCAAATCATCAATCCAATCTAAATATACTTTTAAAATCTTCGTCAAAATAATTACGCAACTAACCAGGCCTATTAACAACGGTAACTCATAAAATAAACATTTTAATATTCAAATTAAAATGAACATTTTAATATTCATTAAAATAAACAATTAAAATAAACATTAAAATAAACAGAACTTTAATAGAACTCTGACACCATTAACTTAGAATGGAACCATCATATGAAATGCTGGAAGAGATTTTGTGATGAAGAGAAGATCCGTAGATAACAGAGAAAAGAAGAAAAAGGAGAAGGAACTAGCTCTAAAACTATAACTTCTACCGAAGAATCACACGTGGAAGTGGAGGCAATAGAAGTTTTGATAGGTATAATACTAGCGCAATGTGCACAACATTCTCAGGTTTGGTTTTAAAATATATTGAATTGTGATCAATTTAGTTTATATAGGGTAAAGTAGTTTCTATGCTACAAACATCCAACCTTGTTATTAGCAGATATTTAGTTTAATAATTTATTTTATTTCACACCAGGTAACTAAGAAGAGAAGAAGAACCCCATTCATGTTGGCAGAAACAATTGATGCTGGTCTTCTACGTACAGCTGCTGAGAGAAAGAACGATCAACAGATACTCATGCAAATCCAGGGGAAAGACTGTGTAGCTCTGGAAATCCGCT